ATAAAAGGTTCCTGATCTTGGGTAGTTAAGGTGTGACAAGTGACTGACCACACTTGATCAATGTTTAAGTTACAAAGAAGGGACTGTGGTCCTGAAAAGTGACCCTGACCTCCACACAGAGGCAGAAGGACAGCAGGTTAAAGACAGCAGGTAAGACCCAAGATGGAAAATCGGGTCTTCATCTAAGTGCGTATTAGAACCCCTTGGGGGATTTCAAAAATTTCCAAACCTCACTATCTAGAGAGCCTTAGTTAGGTTATAGTGTACCACCTTAATAAATGCGTTTTGATAACTGATGTTTTTGCAATGTTAAGTTCTATTAACTCCTGCTTCCAGATTTTCTTGGCTATTGAGATAGGTTTTCTTTTTCTCCCCCACTCCCACCCCTCCTCACATTGTGCTGTAGCTTGAAACCAGAGTTTCCTGTCACAAATGCTAGGCAAGAACCTTCCCACCTATGACAGCCGGAGCCCTGTTCTGCAGCTTTCCCTGTAGTGCCCTTGCATGTCTCCCCATCCCCAGACTTGAACTCACTAGTTATCTTAAGCATTTTATGCTAACTACATAGAACTGCTCTTTAATTTCATTTTCTAGTTTTTGTTGCTCAAGTATAGACAACTGTTCTCATCATGTTGAAACCATGCTAAATGTACTAATTCAATTTCAATACTTTAGTTGCCCGGTCATTTGGATTTTCAAAATATTCAAATGCATCATCTGTGAATAGTCATTTATCTTCTTCGTCTCTAATCTTGATGCCTTTAAATTTCTTTAGTCTATCTAATTACACTCAGTAAGATATTCTGTACAAGTTTGAATAGGGGTGATTACAGTCCACATTTTATTTTATAGTCAGTCCCTCAGGGTAAGCTTCTCTCTCTCTCTGGTCTCTCCTTCCCCCTCCTCTCTCTCCTCCTCCTGCTTCTACTCCCCCTTTCAAGGAGTCCTCTCTGTGTTTTAGGTTGGCTAGCCTGGAACTTGCTAAGTAGACCAAGCTGACCTTAAACTTATACAATCCTAGCAGGGTGGTGGTGGCGGACGCCACCAGCCCTTGGGAGGCAGAGGCAGGTGGATCTCTGTGAGTTCAAGGCCAGCCTGGTCTACACAAAAAAACCACACACACATGAAAAGAAAACAACAAAACAAAACCTAAAACAAAGACAAATCTTATGGCGATTCTGGCGCTTTTGCCTCACGCGAGGATCAGAGGTGGGCTCCAGCACACCTGCCTGGCTGGAGGAAAGTTTTGGTAGCAACAAGAGTGATAGTGTTTGTCTTTTATTTCGCTCTTTGGTGAGATAGTGGAAGTTTTAGTATTACACACATACACACACGCATGCACACGAACACGCTTGAGCATCCTCATACTTAAAATTTTTCTGTTTTTACATCCACCTCTCAAATAAATGTGCTCAGAATTTTTATTTTGGTTATACATTTTGGGACTCATAGGCTATCTAACAAAATGTTTGCCTAAAAGGAGCCGGGTGTGGGAAATAGCTTTAGGAGAACAGCAGTTAGCGTTACACAGCAGAGACTGCTTCGGGGATGTACAGCGTCTGATTACACTTCAACGCTGTGATCAATGCACAGAGTACATTTTCACCCACATGGGTGGATGGTTCTACAGTCAGAGATACGGCTCCAAACTTTGGGTGGTCTATCAGTTAAGTATTATACCTTTTCTAGCAAGACAGATTTGAAAGTGAAGGTGAAATAACCTTAAAGCTGTCCTTTGTTGCTTTGAGACAGGCTCTCCCTGAACAGTCCTGGCTCTCAGTGTATCAGTTGGGACACTCTGTCCAGGCTAGCTTGGCACTGGTGGTGCTCTGGTGGAGTCCTCAGGCCTCTGCCTCCTCCTGAGTATTGGGATTTCAGGTATGTACTAGCCCTCTGGCCAGGCTATAATAAATTTGACTGAGACTAAGGCTGACCTTTATGTTGACCAGATTCTGAAGGTTTGGGATAAGAATTGAGAGGTGAAATGAGTTTATCTTTTACTCAGTGGGAAAGCAAGTGGCGTTATAAAACAGAGGCAAGTGTGGGACCGGAAGGGAGATCCTTTAGGAAGCCATTGTAACGATCCAATGGTAATACGGGAAGGGTTGCAGCCAGGGCACGAGCTATAGCAGTGGCAAAGGTGGGTGTGTGCACCCATACAAGCCAGTTTTGAGGACAATGTCTGGGCAAAGGGGACGAAACAGGCGGTGGTGACTGAGTAGATGTGGGGACTGAACAGAAGAAAACAGAGTTTCCTGTCGATTGATTTTTTTTTCACTGAGGTTGCTGCTCTTGTAACAGGGTTCCCCCTGGTGGCAAAAGAGAACCAAGAAGGACACCTGCTATTCTGGGACACATTTGTACAGTTACAATATCATAAACTAAGGTTGCCATTATCCTCCGGGTATCAAAGAGACGTATCCAAGAATAGCTGAGAGCTAGTTGTTGCTAATGGGCCAGGAAGTGGTGTCTGACCACAGCCTTGACCTGTCTGAATGAGGCAGATCCCGGCCAACTTCTTTTTCCAAGAAGTCTCCACATAGCTGGAGAAGATTAGCCGGAGTTGAAAGAAATCCAGCAAACACTGGGGAACTCTCCTGGGGATATTGATCTTGTTTCTTAAGAGCATGGCAGAGGAGTGAGTAGAGGCTTTGAAGCTGGCCTCATCTGAGTTTGAATGCTGGCTTGGCCACAATTCTGCCAGCATTACCTCAGCATCTTCCTACGTACATTCTATAATAGCACCTGTGATGGGTGTGAATCACTTGCTTAAGACTTCCTCTTTATTAACAGTGGGGGTTGGTCCTGATGACCCTCATAGGAGCTCAGGAGATGACCTTTGGGGCTGATCTATAAATATTCACAAATACCAAATTTAATAAATTCATAAATAACAATATGGTAATAAAAGGGGTTACTCCACAACAACCTCCTGTTAGTGAGCTGGTAGACCACCCCATTTGCCCAAGGCCAAGCAGTGCAACTGAACAGGAAAGGCTGCATTCCAGAGAGCTATCTGAATGTTTTTCCTCTAGGTGTTGAGCAGCCTTTGGATTTTCCAAAAACAGGTGTGTTACATAGGCCTGAGTCATCGACCAAGATGAGATATTTCAGAAACTTTCCATTTTAAGCTGTTTGCATGTTCCTGATTGAGAAAAATGCCTTGCTTGCTTTGTGAACACTCAGGGCTCATAGGTGAGCCCTGCCACTGATCTGAGAAGCGAGCCAGAGCACAGTCACAGCCAGCGGTTATCTTCCACCAATCCGTTTAGGTACAACAAAGGTCTACAACATTAAAGCGCCTATGAGCTGCATTTTGAAATCACTGAAGCCTACTTTTTCCTTTTTTTTTCCTCTCCAGGAGCTCTGTGTGCACATGCATTAGTTGTCTTATCCATCTGTAAGCTTTTGTGAGCTCCTTAATGAAAACAACTGCAATTTTGAGGCTTAATTGCGTATTATTGAGTGGTCTCTCTCTCATTTCTATAAATGTACACTGATGAGAAATGTTCTGTTCATTAGAGACTGCCAGCATGCGAGGCAGATCGGGTGTTTTATTGACGTGTGCAGAAAATATCATCCTAAAGGTCAGACCATAATTATCGGAGTAGAAAAGCCTACCCGACTCCACTCCACGTGGACAATATCGTATTGAACAGTGAGGGTTGACAAAACCAGTCAATTACACACTTCATAAAGAAAACAGTTAGGCCTGCCCATGGAGCAACTCCCTTCCCTTGTATGTGTGAGGCCATCTATTCATTAGCCGTTTAGATTTTAAATTGACTTGATTTTAAATTGATAGCTTATGCCTTTTTCTGTAAACGTAGCAAAAATCTGATGGATCTGGGGAGATATTGACATGTGGAATAAATGGTTCAACCAGGTCTGCTCTGAGTGAAGCCGTTCTGGGGTGCCCACCTTGAGAGGTAGAAACAGGAGATTTCATCAAATGAGGAGACACGTTTACTTCATAGCCTTTGCCTACCCCTCTATTTATCCCTCAGCCTCTTCCCTTCCCTTTCTGTAACTTAAGGGCACATTGGCCGGCCTCTGTCACAGGAGAGTCATGCTTCTGGTTAAAGCATTAGGTCCATTTTTTTGTTTTTTTCTGATAACCTGAATAGGTTTGGGTTTTGTTAAGCAAAAGGCATCAGCTCCGAGGTTGGGAAAGCCTGGCTGCTTTGTGGATCTGAAGGGCAACCAGAATGAAAATACCTAAAAATAATATAATTGCTTAATTAACTTAATAAACATGATTTGTAAAATTATTTTCTATCATTAAGTATATTGGTTTTAAAACTATTTTTTAGTCATTAAGTATTAATTTAGTTTAATTTACAGTTTAATTTATTTTAGGTTCTACAAATAAGTTTTTTTTTTTTTGATATATTAGGAAAAATTTTCGGCCAAGTCACAGGTAGGTCACTTTTTGTCCAATTGTTACAATTACATCTACATGAATATGTGTGTGTGTTTGTGTGTGTGTGTGTGTGTGTGTGTGTGTGTGTGTGTGCAGGCACATGCAAATATGAATGTATGTATGTATGTATGCATGCATGTATTAGTGCAATTGGTTTTAACCATAGAGCTTCCAAGAAAGATTCTGGGGTATACAGAAAATGAATAGATGTACTAATCTATGTTTGTTGTGAGTTAGGGTTTTTAAGAATTATGCATAAGAATATTTGCTTAATTAACATGTGGCTGATTTTTTTTCCCAAGTTGGTTGAGCTGAGTCTAGACCTCTTCCTTGTGGTGCTAGCATTTGGAGTCGTCTCTCAGTTATCACTGCTTGGGAAGAGGTATATATGACAAGTGAAGGCAAAAGCACACTCTTTCTACTGCATCTTTTAGTGCATCTTTGTCCTCCACCTCTGTGAGCTGGGTGTGTGTACATATGTCCAGGTGACACTGAATCAAAACAACATGGTTTTAACAGACTGCCTAGGACAGTCTGAAATCATGACAATTTGAGAATCGGCAGAGCTGACTCTTACCTCCCGGTATCCCCAGAGCTGGTTCCCTTTCATGCCATGGCAGTCGTAGAGGGTGACAGGGCTGCTGTGCGAGATTGCATCGAAGCAGAATTTCCGGGTGTGCAGAGGCTCACCGGGTCTAATATCTTCTCTCCACCCGAAAGTAAAGAGCTAGAAAAACATCAGTAGCAGAAAGACTTCAGTGAGCTCAACTCGGGGAAAGGTTCCAGGGCCTGGGGAAAGATGTCTTAACTGTGACGTAGAGCTCCCATTTTGTGAGTTCAAGGAAGAAGCAGATCTCATCATAACAGAAGCATTGAAAAGGCATGCTTCCAAGTCCTGTGACTGCTGCTCCTGAGCCCAGACTGGTAAAAAACGTAAATGAGAAGTTTTCAGTGAGGGACGAGTAAGGAGAGAAAGAAGGGAAGGGTGGATGGGACAGAAAAAGAAAGATATTTTGAAGGTGGAGGAATTGGAGAGGGAAGGATGAGTAATGAGAGATGAGAGGGAGAAGGAGGGGCTGTGGAAGGAAGGAACAGGAGGAGGAGAAAAGCCTTTAATAAAACTCTTAGCATTTGTCATGTAGATAAAATGTTCCTGGATCAAGGACTGCAGAGTTAGCCTAATGAGCAGATTAACTGCCAAAGGACAAGGCTTAAAGTTGAGCTGGATTGATGCTCGCACCTTGAAAAATCCAATTTAAAGGAAAAGTCAAGCTCAATGAAGTAAAGAACAGGCAAATTAATTTTCTAGGAAGGTAAGAGCAATTCTGTGGGACAATATAGACAGTTTTAGATTGCAACTCACAGTAAGAAGTACATTTCACACTTACAGACCCCTGACCTCAGCCTCACACAGAAGGTTTGTAGAGAAAGATATTTCGATTCCAATTAATACTTCAATATGCCATCCATTGTTTCCTATCCTCGCCTGTGCTTTCCATCTTACTCTGTTAGATTATAGAAGCTACTTATGATGTCCTACCAACCTTACAACATGTTAAACTAACAGAAGACATTCTTGTTGAGAAAGAGCCTTTTCTTAAGTTACTTGAGGTGAACCACATTTGTAGGGTACATCAGAAAAAAGTCCTTAATTAAAGGAGACGATGGACTTGTGGAGCCTTGTGATCTCTTCCAGTTCTGGCTCAGTAGGTTATGTACTTCTTAGAGGATGACTCTGGGTGGCAGACAGCTGTGTGAAGACGGCTGTCGGGGACAATGCCGTCTTGGCAGAGAGGAAACACAGAGAAGAACTGTATAACCCTAATACACTTCACCACGTGACCTGGTCTCCCGCACACTCGGGTTTTCAGATCCTCCCTAGAGAATCTGGGCAGGCCTAGACATGACTAAGAAAACAGTTACAGGGTGGAAATCTGGAAGCAACAGAAAGGACTAGGTTAAGAGGTCTTAACTAGAAAAAGAAATGATTTAAATGCAACACATGCAAGAAGATTGTCTGAGTAAAGGTGAGTGTCTATGTTCTGTTCCCCTGAAAGGCAGGACAAGAGACAGTCCAAGCCAGAAGAACAAGGGGTGCCAGGTTAGACAAATTATCTATCTGTCTATCTATCTATCTATCTATCTATCTATCTATCTATCTATCTATCT